CATATCGCAGAGAGCTCTGCTGTGTCATCTGAGGACAGAGCCCAACTGTTATCAAACAGACTGTGGAGAGCATGAGCACGCTGGCAAAGCAGACAGCCGTTCTGGCAGGACAGAACTGCCAAAGTTAATGGTTTTTATGAATGTTGCGGTACTTGAGGAATTTCTTCACGTCCCAGCTCCGGCAGCCTTGGCTCAAACAAGAACTGCTGGTTTGCGAATTAAATAAAACAACTTTTCTGAAGTTTTTAAAATAGTTTTTAAGCTGGTTGTGGAGAAGAAGAGGCCTGCAGGTGGCCCTGCTGACACAGAAATACAGGACCCCCCCGCCTTTATCATGCTGGCGTTGTTAAACCGATGGTTATTTTGAGGCATTTCATATTTAGCCTGTCCAGGGCCAAAACTCAGAGACTTTACTTCTGAGAAATCAGAGCTCCACTCGACAGCAAGCATGTTGCTCTTGTGCTTCAGACTGTTTGTCCATCGGCTCAGGAGACCCTTGGGGGTGCATGGGAGAACCGGGCACCGCACCAGCCCATGGTGCTCTGCAGAAAGGTTACGGCACAGGCTCAAGCCGTTCCTGTGCCCCTTAATTCTGCGACAGCCCTTATAAAAAGACGCGCTGGCCCCTGCCCTCGGCTGGTTCTGACACGCGTTTTTGCCTTCCATAAAACCTGGAGGCTGATGAAACAAATAGGCAACAAACACAACTGCTTCCTTCGGTCTGCAAAGAGCCGAGGTCCCTTGCACAGCTACCTCCCACCTGAACTAATTCCCCACCAGAGGGGTTTTTTGAGCCTCCTGAAAGCCAGCGTTAATGAGAACAGTTATTGACCAGGAACCCATGCAGAAATTTCACCCCACAAGCATTTGACTGGGGAAATTTATAAAAAACAACAACAACAAAACAGTCTCCCAGGGCTTAAAGGGCAAGTCCTGTTTTTTGCTTTCCACTTGAGAGATGACAAATATGTCAGCACTTTTTTTTCCATGCTAGTCACAAGACCATAATATCGTTTCCCCGACTTCATTCAGTCTGGATCTATACATGCTCTTTTTCAGAGGCGCAAAAGGAGAACAGAAAATGCAGCATCCTACAAAAAATAGGGGGTGAGTCACTTTTTCCACACCGGGTTCAGGCCATCAGTGCCCCTCTGTGCTTTCAGCCTGGGACAGAGGAAGACCAAACCACAGCGCAGAGGCGACAGCTGGATACATCTGCGCAATTATCCAGGGGCTCCCCGACCACTGGCAGAGCCTGGACGGGATGGTCTTTTGCCCGATAGCTGAGATGAGCCAGGACTGCCCGAGAGGTCAGGCCAACCTCCTCCTGGCAAATTCCTGAAGGCTACTTCCCAAATCCTGGGAAAGGCAACCAAGGTTGTGCCAGATGACTTCATATGCTCATGGACAGGTCCCCGGCCCCAAAATGTTCCTTGAGCTGTGAAACTCTGTGCCATGGGTTTGCAGATGAGTTAATGCACGGAATACATCCCATCCGAGTAAAGAACGACTCAAAACCCAGGGAACAAATTCTCCCAAACGCCTTATGATTGACTCCATTGCTGAAAGTGCCAAGAGATGCTGCCAAACTTTGACTGCCACTCCAAAGGCCATACCAAAGATTGTCAACACCGGGAAGAGTGTCTCACTTCTATTTTAGAGAATAGGAGCCGTGGTAGCAAACCTCTTGTCTCCTTCAAGCAGAACTGCTTCTTCCCAATATTATTGACTTAGGGCATTACCACGAGTTACATAAACACGCAACAGAGAGACCACTTGTATTAAAAAAGTCCAGATGAAAGCACAAGGCAGCAGACAAATAAGCTCAGAAAGAATATGTGGAAGTACCAACACCAAACTGGACATCCCTGCTTGACGCCTGCTGGGATTTTTTCTAGGCTTTAGCCATTCTTCCCCAGTCCCCCAGTGACTTACCAACCCCTTGGAGTTCTGCCACCTGTACCAGATGTGATAGCCCTGCAGTTCTCCGTGGATCCTCCCCAGGGGCGGCTTCACCCATCGGATCTCCAGGGAGGAGCTGGATTCATTGAATGACACCGTGACGTTCAGTGGTGGGGTGGTTGGAGCTGCAGGAATCAAAGAGAAAGAAGGTGAGGGGAGCCACGTGGATGGGTGCAGGGCTGATGGAAAATGAGCTGTAGCTCAACCAGAAAGTACACGGTATCTCCTACAGCCTTTAGTATTTCCAGCAGGTGACTACCCACGGGTAAATATCCTTTCCCCAATCAACAGAGTCGAGATGTCCCACCCCGTAAGCGACCATGACTCTGGACCAACCTCTCATCCAGAGAGTCCTGCACAAAGCACAGCTGCGCGACCGAGGCAGGGAAACCCTTCTCAGTCTTAGCTACTCATTTCCTACCGCCCTCGGTGGTGCTGGCGGTTATCCACGGGCTAAACGGCGACCAGCCGACTTCATTCCCACAGGAAACGCGGATGTTATAGTCCGCCATGGGCCCCAGCTGCTGGATGTGATACACGTGGGGAGGCACCGAGGTATTGAAGAGCAGAAGTGAGACGTTGCTTCGTGGAACAGCTTCCTTGACCTTAATTGAAAAATCAATCCACAAACAGGGATTAGTCAGCAACAACCTGCAGGGTGAGACGCGTGGCAGGAATTTCACATCTGTAAACAGAATCCAGAGCCCTGCCTCCCTCCCTGCCTCCCATCCAAACACCGGCAGGGTCTTGTTCCTGCATGCTGACTCGTCTCTGCCGAGCAGAAAGCTGATGGCAGGCCAGTCACGGGGCCCAGGGCAAGGGCTCCAACACACGCAGAGAAGAAAGAGTTGCGGTGGGGACGTGGCAGAGATGTGTGAAATCGCCATCACTGCGGAAAGGAGGAAGGAGGGATGATTTGCTCTTTCTTATGGCATGGAGCAGAAGGAGCGCCCAATAACATTACCAGGCAGCGAGTCCCAAACAAACAAAGTCCTTTTTCGTGCAACACATCATTAGACCGCAGGACTTAGCGCCATCAGATGTTGTGGGACTTAATCACAGACCTCGTCAGACTCCATCATTACATTTAGCAGCATGGATGAATTCAACGTACTAAAAACAAGTCATGCTTTTTACACAAAGAGAAATTGCTCTCTCCCCAAAGGGCTGGCTATTGAGCACCCATGTAGCTGCCCACACAGCCCTTGCAGCTCTCCGGAAAGTGTCTCATTTCGTGGGAAGCACCAAAAGAGTGGCCTGGGCCTGGGCGGTGGGAGGAAAGAGGGAAGAGCAAGAACGAGGGACGCCAGTGCAAGCGAGACAGTTAACTCAGAAGACAACCCACAGGATGTGTTTCAGCGTGAACTACAAGCAGAAGGTCATACAGTCCTCTCAAAAGCCTCCACGTGTGGTTTTGGGGTGGGAGGAGACCTGCCCTTCTGCTTAAGCAACCAGAGAACCCCTCTGGGTAGCCCAGGATGCTCAGGACGGTCTCAGCATCAACACGAGCAGTATTTTCCAGCCAAAATGAAAGAGGCCTTCAGCCTCATAAAGCTGAGAAGGTCCCCAAGCCGTCACTAGATGCTTTGAGGGACATGAGCAGTGATCATGCTGCTCCTGAAAGCACCACTGGGACTGGCCGTTCGCCTGAGCATCGAGCCCAGCTCAGCTATCTCGATCCTCAACTTGTCTTCTGGAGAGAGTCCATCAAATTTATGTATTTTTTAAAAAAACAGGCTTTTTGCAAACTTAAACAGTTTGAACTTGGCAGGTGTGACAGCAACAGCTTCCCTTTTAAGCACCAGCGTGCTCAGAAATGAGTCACTTGGTCGGTGGGCAAGGGGATTATCAAAGGGGACAGGAGCAAAAGGGCTTAGTCACAGCTGTGTTTTTGCCAGAAATCATGTCTTGTTTTCCAATTTGAAAGGCTATTTCCTAATGACAGACCGTGAATGTTAAGTCATAGGAAATTCCTTGGCTCTCCACCCCACTTCCCAAGCTCCAGCTGGAAGGCAGCAGTGGACGCAGTGCTAATATTAGCTCTGGTACCTTTCCTCCCTGTAACTCCTTTCACTTTTACCTGGCTTCAAATATCGCCTCTCTCCATGCATTACCTCAGCCGGAGTATAGATTAGCCAGTATAAAAAACATATCCACAAGAGAGCAAGCAATGGGCTTGAACTGTAAACCCTGGCAATGTTAAACAGATAGAGCAGGTGGAAACTAGTTACAGGGCTGTACCCATGGAGATGGCATTCCCTGCCTTGTCCAGGAGACAGGCAGCCCCTCAGCTCCTTCCCAGTACTTGCAAGGAGTGGAGAGTCGAGAGAAACTTCCACCTCCAAACCCCAGCGGGAAGGCTGCTTGTTTGGGAAGTGTTTGACCAGGAGGTAAAAGTAGGGACAAGCATGTGCCTGCAGCAACTCAAGGCTTGCAAAGTCTCCCGAAGAGCTACTTGGAGCAGTTCTGGGCATCTCTCCATGAAGAGACATGAGAAACTGACTGTCTCACCTGAGGGGAGAGATTCTCGCGGCTTGCTCCCGCACGCTTCACAGGCACGAGCCCACATGGGCTCTTCCAGGCAGGCAACTCACCTGTTCCTATCGCCCTTTGTTTCTGCCCCCACTCAACCACACCGCTCCCGGGACAAAAGCCTGCTTCACACACCCTGCGTCGGCTTCTCTGCGGGACCCCTTCCACTGACTTTCCCCCCTCGCAGCAGGCAGAGCAAAGCCACTCTTTGTGAGCAGACACCACCAAGCTAGCCTCTAGCAGCTCCTTCCAAGCCTCCTGTCCACCTCGGCGGTGCTCCAGCTGCCCCAGGTCCCAGCGCCTGGGGACTCTGCTTGCTGCTCAACTTTGACTCCTCAACATCATGCCACCACAAATTCCCCAGCCACCCAGACCGCAGGGCACGGGTGAGACAGCGTGCCAGTTTCCCCCTTCAAAACCGCTGGGAAAGTCCAACTCAATTTGCCCAAACCAATGGTCTGGTCAAATCCATGTGGTTCAGGCCAAACAACATTCATTTCCACCTGCCTTGGAGCATCCGTGTGAGGGGAGGTTGCAGAGGCAAAGGGAGGTTATGGATGCTCACCTGGACACTGCAGCTGTTCAAGGCAGAGAATGCATCAAAGCCCGGCACCCAGGATATCACGATTCCGTGGGCCGTTCGGTTGAGGACATGCACGCTGGCGGGTGCGGATGGTATTCCTGCAGGGAAAAGCCAAGGGCAGTTAGCTGGAGGCCTAAGCACAAACGTGGCACATCTGGCTTCCCCTAGGCAGCTCCCAGGGCTCAGACCGACTGTGCGTGAATCCCGGGTACTGCCCTGGCTACAGCCGCATCCTCTATCAGTGTACCTCTATCAAACAACCGCGGATGTTTCAGACCACTGGACAGGGAAGCAGGAAAAAGTCATTTGCAGGACTATCTTGACCATGTTCTATATTTGTGAGCTCTCTGGGCTGCTTAGAGGCAATGACATATTTTGGGGAACACCTTCCTCACATTGCTGGAGTGGCTCCCGTCAGGAATGTCGAGAATTTCCACCATTTCCTACGGAAAATTGCGAGCACCGCCCTGGTTGTGAAGGAAGGAAAAGAGTGATACAGCCCTTCCGAAACCTGCTCTGGGGCTGACAGCTCTGCTTTCAAATGTGCGTTTTGGTGCTTCCTCCCACAGCAGTGATACTGGGATGACAGAACCGCACTGGGTGACCACGCTACTACGTGCACCCTGCTTGATTTTAAATATAGGTTTAAAAGGAGGAAAAATAAGTATGGGAGTGCTAAAAACCTCTCCTTCAGCTCTCGTAGAATGACTGCTGGGAAGGGTGGAGATCAGGACAGCTCCTGCCTGGACACATGTAGTCAACAGGTAAAGCAAACATCGCGTTGCCGCTTACCTTTCACGTTGACCTGCCCCGGGTTGGAGGCGGTCAGCCCTTTACTGTTGTGAGCCTCGCAGCTGAACAGCGCCGTTTCATTAAGACCTGCAGGGGGAAAAATAAGGACCTGTTCACTGGACCTGCACAAAATGCACAAATCACACCAATTCTTCACCTGCTGCTCACAGAAAACCCTTGCGGCTTCCTTTCTTGCACTGTTGCTTTATTTTTTTTCCAGCACCACAAAAGACCTTCTATTTTGCACTCATCGCTTCCCTTCGCGGCCTTTCTGTGCTGACTGCCCGGGGGTGACCCCCGCCGTCCAGCTCACCCACCTTCCACGCCGCGAGCACGAACGTGCCGTCAGTGCGAGACGCGGCACAGCAGGCAGGACCATACGTTTCTAAGGCGCCGTTGCACAACCTCCTGAGTAAGCATTTGTTTTGCATTCAAAGAGGGGAAGGCAGAAAGCAGAAGAGCCCACCACCACAGCTTGAATCAGATGACTTATTGCTTGTCGAAGATTGCTCAAATCTCCCAGCTGATAACGGAGAACAACTACTTTTGGGGGCCACTGGAAATACCCGAGTGCAGCCAGCTGCTTGTTTCTCCGGGGGTGTTGGCATGGCCTGTGTGAGATGACCCCGGGCAGCAACAGCGCTCAGGATTTTCATCTCATGCAAAGGACTTTACTGGAGGTGCAGGGCTACCACTCCTGGGCACATTGCTTGCTGCTGCTGCAAGGTGAAGGGCTCGCTACGGTGCGCTGGACATGCTGAGCATTTGCTCACACCAGCAGCAGTGCCTCTCAGTGCGACGAGGCTCCTGGGCTAGGAGGGGGACTGTTCAAATGACCCGACCTAGCGTGTGCCAGCCGGATACAAGAACATCCAAGAGGAATGAGTCACTTCTTCCGGCTTTCACTGCCTTTTAAAGGCTGCCTTTGGACGCCAAGACGAGTCAGTTATAGCGTGGCTGCTAATTAGCTAGTGGCCTTCTCCTCATGAGCAAATCAAGAAATCCCTCCTCTCTTTTACCTCTGCAGCAAAACCATGACGGGTTTTATGTCACATGAAGGACTTTTCTCCCTGTGCTCTACCAGGCTGACATGGAGACACGCTGTAGGGGCCAACCGAAGGTCTTTCAGAGACATTAAGCGGCGACCACCAGTAAAGCAGCCCATAACAGCAGCAGTGTACTTGGTGGCCTGGCCACAGGCTAGAGGCAAAATCTGCTTCTTGCTTAGGAAAGAGCTGTTTGAGTATCCTGCCTCTTCTGAGGAAGAAATTTCTGGCAGCAGCCAGAGGGAGTCAGATGGGGGTTCCTGCCCCCAGATCATCCCTGGCAGAGCGGTCCCCAGGGCTGCCGAACAAGCAGTACAGATGGTGCTGGGCAGAGCCGTGCTCCCAGCGCTGAGGATGGAGCAGTAACAGGCTGGGACTCATTTTTGCAAACTGGTACCTCTGTGGTACCTCTTTTGCAAAGCTGGACCCCCGTGTCCCACTGTATGCAATTTGACGGCCATATTTTATGCCAAACCTCCTGGGAAATTTACCTGTGCTGAGCTTTCCAGCCAAGCGTCAGCAATGCACAGTGCCACACAAAGATGAAGCAGGCTGCAATGGCCTTGTGACAGCGCATGGGGACACAGCCCCTGCCTAACGGGAGGTGCGAGGCCAAGGGGACAGGCTGTGAGACGGCACAAGACACCTTCCCACCCTGCCCTTCCTAGTAACCACACAGAGGTGTCCCAGCTGGCTGTGGCAAGGACGCTGCATGGCTCACCTGGCACGGTCAGGACTGATGGGGAGATGTAGGGCTTCTCATTGACTTGGATGTTGTTGCGAAACCAGTAGATCTCCACAGGCTCCGGCGGGCCCACGGCTTGGCATGTGAGGTTGAAGGGACTGTTCTTGGTGACCTTCAGCTTCTCGGGCTGATGAATGAAGTGTGGGAGCCCTGCACGGAGACAAGCAGAGAAGCAAGAGACTCAGAAAGCTCGGAAACACAGCCCTATCAACAACCCCAAACTGTCCTGCCCGGGGCTGTGCCCAGCTCCAGCAACAAGCCCCTTCCCAGCCAGGACTCCCTGATTCTGGAGGACAGCTCACAGGTTCCAGATCACACTCAGCCAGGGCACAATGCTCCACACCTCCGGCACATCCGCCCTAGCCCTTCTCCAGCTCACCTTCCAGCTGCACCGAGATGGGATCTGACACCACCTCTGTGCCAGAGATGTTGAGTTTGCAAACGTAGGAGCCGTTATCCGAGCGCTGGGCGGCAAGGATGCTGCCAGAGAGAACAGAGACCATATCAGGGCTCTGGCAGGGAGCCTTGCCCCGCACACAGCTGCCACAGGAGGACACGGCGATACTGCCAGCCTGGGGGTGGGCTTCAATCAGTACCAACCACCCCACAGCACAAGCTTTGGGGGCTAGGGAGCGTCTGCCCGTCCTAGTCCCAGCCCCAAGCTCCTGCTAGCCATCTGGCTTCCCATCTCTCCCTGGGAGCCAACGCTCAGGGCATTCCTCCAGCAAGGACTGCGCCAGTTACCTGAAGGTGGAGGTCATTGCCACCTCCTCCTCGTCGGAGATTTCGAAGTGGCTGGTGGCGATGCGGTCCAGCACATGCAGCTCCCTCCCGTCCTTCCACAAGGAAATGCCTGGGGTGTCCGGCCTGAGCAGCAGCTGAGGTACTTTGATGGAGCAATTAAACGTGACATCCTTGTGCTCATTAATCACAATGTGTCGCACCGTGGGGTTAAACTTAATCTGTCCTAGAGAGCTGGCTGAGGGCTCCTCCCGGGGCTGCTCTGTGCTCTGGTGAGGCCAGTGACCAACGGTTGCCACGCTTCGCTCAGGGCCGTGGGACTCTGCCAACAGGTACAGCCTTGGATCTCGATTTCGGTCCGCACCATCTGCAAGAGAAGACCTCGGTTTTGCTAGCACCAGCCAGCAAATGCCCCTTTCCAAAACCCTGCAAAGCCCCACTGCTTCCCTTAATAATTAAAGGCAGTTCATTTACAGATGCTTCAAATATTCAAAATCTCTAGGAGACCTCTCATAAGAGTCCCAAGGAGGAAACATGGAGCTGGCGGCTGCCCCAAGCCTGACGATGTATAAGCAGCACCTTCAGAAAAAACCTTTTTAAAACAAACCAGAGCAGCCCAGGCTAAAGAAAGTGCTCGGCCGCTTCTGTTTCGGCAGAGGAGAGGCAGGAGCTATTTCTGCTGCATTGCACCCCCGGGACTGGAATATAAAAGGATCCCTGGGCAGGAGGAATTTGGGACTTTACTCCAGCAAACCCCTTTCGGGGGCCTCATCTCAAGCATTTTCAGCTGGGGCAGAGCAAGAGTCCCCGGTTGGGATTTCTCTGATTTTAGGCTCTTTGCTGGTGATGCTGCTCCCTTCCCAGGACAGGGTGAGCTGCTCTGAAAGGGGGAGATGCTCTCTGAGTCAACCACAAACGCTTTTGCTAAGCTAAGTGACTCCACTGAGCTGCTCTTCTTGGTAAAACAGCTGCAGACAGACGGATGAAGAAATGTCTTCAGACAGTGTGTAGGAGCAGGCTGCTGTTTAGTGTTGCTCTCCCAGGGTCTCCTCCCCGACATTTTTCCCAAGGGAAGGCTATTTACCAGCTCTTTCTGAGGGCTTTGTGCCCCCACCTACAAATCACTTAACATACCCAGTCCTGTAACGGCGTTTTCCTCCTCCCTCCCAGCACTTCTCACCCCAGCCATGAACATGATGAAGAGCAGCTCCATATAAAGCAACTCCCCCCAAACAAAACTGTATATTTTTTGAGAGATAAGATCTAGAGAATACACCACAAGTAGATGCTTTTACCAGACCGTTTCCGAGCTTCTTGAGGCTTTCACAGGCACACAGAAATCCCAAGCAGAGTGGCAAATCTCCCTTGCTGCTTTCAGCAAGCAAAGGCATCGTGCCAGACAGGAATTTCAGCTAAATTAATTTGCCTCTTCCGAAAAAAAAACCTATTCACAATTTAAAAGCTAATACCGCAGGTAGAAAGCACAACCCTTTTATTTAACTGGAGTTCAGCTGAGTATGTTTTGAGGCAGGTCTTAGTCCTCAAACACCAAACGACAAGTTTTTAAAACTACGTCATTACTATTGTGAGTAATGGGGCATGAGCCTAGTGCGCTTTCCCGAGAGCCAAAAAACACAACCTAATTTTGAGGCTGGATATATTCCTTTGCTAAATGGCTCACTATTTTTAACCCTCGAGAAATGCTACTTCTAGACAGAAATTTGAGAAGGCTTTTTAAGTTCTGCCCGGTCTGGTGGTGCAGAGAAAAGCGCAAGGCTCTCCCTGGCTCTCACACAAAACAATGGGTTTCCCTTTTAGAAAAAAAAAAAAAAAAAAAAAAACCCTAAGCTTTTCCAACCTGCTTCCTAAGCTTTACCATCCCAACACAAACAAAGGCCATGTGACTGCTGCAAAATGCAGTCCACTGCCATTTACTTGCGGGCCGGGTCACCGGCTCTCAAACAGCCAGGCAGCTCCAAAAAGATGTGCCAAATGCAAGCAAGCGAGCAAGCCCAAATCCCCTTCCCTCCCCTGCTCTTCCCAGAGGTTACCCAGGCTGGAGCCACTCGCTGCCTGGCACAATCCAACCTCAAACAGCTGTTTTCATGCTGCATTTCAAAGCTTTTCAGCTCTGGCCAGAGCAGCTCCCCCGGCAGGGACCCCTGGCCGGGGAGGACACGGACGCGTGTCCCTGCCCTTGGCAAGCGCTCCGCCTGGTCCGGGATGATTTCTGCTCCCCCAGGCTCCTTCAAGTTTAAAGGCAAAGAGCAAAGGTGATCTTAGCCTCGTTTTCTGTACTGATTAAGTGAAAAGAGGTGTTTGCTTGCCCAGGAATGAAATACTTTCCTCTCTGACTCATGTGACAACAGGAATTTCTCATATCTAGCGCTGCCTTTGGGTACCCGTTCCATCCCCAGCTGTTTGGGATGTGGTTATCTTCACGGCATCTTCGAAGGGATTTGCCCTGTGTGGCAGGACACCCCTTACCTGTGTCCAGAGCGATTTGCTTAGGCTGGCTCTAAAAGCCCACACTAGAGCCGAGGAACTGAAAGCCGGCGTGCCTGCGTGGGTGCCTGCCACACTGGAGCAGCTCCCCTCGCTTACCGCAACTTGGCCTGAGGGAAAAGCTGGCGTGGAAATAAATCCACTTGCAAGCACACTGCTGCTCTCTTGAAACACCTGGGATCACAGCAAAACTAAAGCACTAGCAAAGGCAGATCTTACTGTGCAGCCCGGCAGGTCCCGCATGCCTTCTCCATTACTCGCCTGGAGAACGGAGTTTTAACAAGAAAGTCTTGCCTGCTATTAGAGGCAAGATTCTTTATTATGGATGAAAAACAAAAAGCAGGGAGTTGCACACCCCACGACTGAAACAGTGCCTCGTTCTGCTGCAGTCCCAGTAAGGAAGGCATCAGAAAACACCCAGGTCTGCCAAAAAGCTCCCTACATCCCTAGCCCTGGATTTCCCATTACTGGAAGTAATTCACCTGCTGACAACAGCTTTCTGCTCAGGCACTTGTTGAGTGTACCTTCGCACCCGGACAGGGCAGGAGGAATGGAGAGCCCCTGCCTGCAGGGTTTCCTACCTCCCCATCCCCTGGGAGCTGTCAGAAGTGAATTTCCCCCAGGGCCACACCTGACTTCCAAAGAGACTCTCGGGGTTCAAACACCTTTTGCATAAACCAGTCCAGGATTCCTGGTTAAATCCACAGGGAGTTCCCCTCACTGCAGATTCCCGCTGTTACAGAGTCAGGGCTTTTCACTAGTCCACACACAGCAGCTACTGAAGTAGCAATTCATTCCTGCCTTCCCTGCTAAACCCCATCTGCACACCGACTCCGAGACCCCCCAGCATCCCTGAGCAAGGGCTATAAACCCCCAGCAGCTCGCAGCCTGCGACCAAACGTCGGGCAGCCCTGATGACGGCACGCTTTAAGTCCAAAACCTACTTTTGCCTCTTTGCATTTCTTTTTGCAGGTAACTAAGCACGTGGAGCTGAAAAGCCAGCAGACTGACAGCACCGCAAAGCACGTCCCTGTGCCACAAACCACAGAGTTTCCCGGTGATTTTTCCCGGCACCGGTACACAGCTGGCTCACGGCTGACGGGATAAATCCCAGACCCGCTGATGTGTCGCAGCTTTTGGTCCCTGCCTGTCGCGGTGTCCCCAGCAAGCAGAGGCACATCACACAGCAAAGTGCTGCGACACGACCACGGCGCAGAGGCAGAGCTGTCCCCCAGGACAGCAAAACCCGCTCTCTGGGGCTGGCAGAGATGTCCTGCCGCTAGAGACCCGCAGCGAAATCACTGCTGAGCTTCCCCCCAGGACTTAAGCGTTGCGGAGGTCTGCAGGCCCAGCGAGCAAGCAGGGGGGTGCGGGGGTCAACTGGGGCGCCCATGCAACACCCTGGCCGCTGGCAGGGTGAAACGAAGCAGCGTCTGCAGGCAAAATGCTCCCCGTGCCCCGGACGAACACGCTTC